ACAGAATGTGAAAATCTCCACAGAGAATTCAAGAAATAGACACACAGTGTCAGGTTTCTGTGAAATATTTCAAGTTAAAAAGCTAACAGTAACCTTGTTTTCAACTACATGAAGTCTTATTTCAGGTTTCATCTTTATAAAATACATCTCAATATCCGGGTCCACCCAAGTGATACATTGTAAAGAATGACTGCTGGTTGCCTACCTCTCTGAGTTTGAGGGGAGGCGGTAGTGACTTTGTTGAAAAGTGTCGAACCAAAGCTGTAAAGATTTTCAAGGTCAGTCCAGTGAATTGATGAATAAGATACCTTTGCACTATAACACAAAATGCCTGTTTCCCACAGGTGTGTAGAAGAACCCTGCTGTAGGCAATGTAGACTGTACCCTAAAATCTGATGTATGCTAAAAATAAAATATTTCTACTCCAGAAATTTTGCACAAGGTCTAGTCAGCTTAGTACTGTGGCATTATTTTTTTGGCCTCAACATGTTGTTATTCTTAAGCATTGTTGGAGAGGTCACAAATAAAGTCTACAACAGATGCTGTGTTTTACTCATGGTAATGTTCTGGCTTGATCTTAACATCCTTAGCAGCCCCAAACCATTTTTTGTCTTTTTAGATTTGTGCAGCAGGTGAAGTTCTTTATTGGTATAAATAAATAAATAAATAGGTATTGTTACTTACAAATTAAGTTGTCAGAATGTCTGATGTTTGAGTGTATAAATGAAGAGAAAAATAGCTGCAGTTCTGCAGACTACCAAAGGGGCTACATAGTCTTAATGAAACTGAAAGTTTGGCTTACACTACATCTCTCAGACTTGAGTGCTTGATGTTGGAAACCTAAATCTCTAGTTAGTAAACTTAATAAAAGTAACTTGTAGCCTAATTTTTTAAGAGGTGCTGAGTACCTCATTTTTGTGGACCTTACTGCAAGGTATGGGTGGCTCAGCATCACTGAAAATCAGACTACATTGTAAATTATCTGACATGGAGGCTTACATCCTTTAATTAGACATTCAAGTTTGAAAACAATTTCCATACAACCATTATTCTTATTACAACACACTTCATGCTAATTTGAGTTTTGTGGTGGTAGCTTTGCAAATTTGACTGTGTGAATTTTGTCAAGCATGCTGTATCACCTACAATGTGTGAATATATTCATTTTATTTTTGAAATCTTGTTCTAAAATTATTTGCATTTGTCATAGAATAAATACTTATCGAGTATCTAAATGTATAATTGTTACAGGAAGAAAAATATAATCTACGGGGGGGGTTGTATTTTTTTAGCCACTGTGGATTATAATTTGTTAATCTTAATAACTAAATTTACTAATCAACTGTTGTTAACATACTGCTGTTTATTTAATGTCTGGCCATAAATTGGTTGTGAGGAAACAATATCTTTGTTTTACAACCATGTGTCTAATCTGAAAAATTGAGTTGTTTGTGCTTGTGTTTGGTCAATAAGTCTTATTGTGTAGTTTTTTCCACTACTTTTGACCACTTTTTATTCTGTTTACATGTGGATGCATATGCAGTATTTATAAGGATATGTGATAATCACTACTGTAAGCTCTTTGAAGGGATTGCAACCTGGTTTCCAGACCATGGAAAATGGAAGGGTAGAGTGCTATCCTCAAAATAATTTTGTTTCTAGTTCTGTTAAAAATCTTAGGAGGTGATTAAAGCATAAACTTAGTTTTGAATATTTCTTCCTTCTGATCAAATATTACTGCTTTTGATTTGAATGCTGTTACTCTAATTTAGGGTGCACCCTCAAAAAATAGGTAAGATGGAAAAACAGTAGAGTTCATCTACTCAATATAAATAGAAATTTTCATGATATTTAGGCAAGAAGCCTGATAAAGAGAATATTTGCCATCAGAATTATTCAATACCGTGAATAACAACCCAGTCATATTATGCATGAGAGATGGAAAATGAAGTTGGCCAGTCTGGTTTTGAAAATCCAAGAGAATGAAATAGAAGCAAATACAGGATCAGTAGTCTAAAATAATTATAATGGAAGGTATTGCCAGCAATGGTAATGTTGGAATAATTTAGTCATGTTTCTCAGAGCTTAAGTGTCTAAAGTTCTGCTTCTAAATCCTTATGTAGTGGCCATGTAGAATAAGGTGCCTAAATATAGTTTAATATATCTAGGCTTGAAAATGTTCTAAACTGGACTACTAGGTGGGGGCCTTGTCCATTTGGTAAAAAGGGTTAAGTTTAAATGATGATGATTTTAAAAAGCCACATTGTATAGTCCTGATCAATTATTGTATAGACATAACTGGCAATTAGGTGACATTTAGGCATAATGACAAGGTCAAGGTAGGTTTATTTTTAACTAATGCAAGAGAATTCTAAAATGTGGTGTTTGGGGTACAGTGCACAATGCATCTACATCAGTACAAATGAGGAGTGAACACATGTTGTACATGCCCACTAGGTATATGTCACTCTGCCATGGAGTAAAGTCATATTTGTAGCTGTGCACAAACAGGCTATTACTGGCTCCCCATATCTAATGATATATTATATAGTCTTGTGGGCAGCTGTCACAGGAGAGCAGGCTTTGAGTGCTTCAGACATCGGTGGTAAATTGCCTCTGTATACAAAACCAGCATAACACAGGTGAGAATGTGTTGTAGATAGTGGTATAGTTTAATTCAATTTTTACTGTTTTTAGACCTTTTCAGTAAATGGGTTTAATGTCTAAACTTGCTAACATATTTTAACCGTATGTGTTCAACAACGGTTATAGTGACTTTGACTAGCCCTCTCACTTTTTTGATGAAGTTAACTTTTCTTTAGGTAACTATGAAACAATTTATATTGCCTCAGCTTAAATCAAGGTCACTAAATCATCAAAATATTTTGGATTTTACACTGGCAGTCAGATGGTCTTTCATCTTCCCCCTTCCTCCCCCCGCCCCCATGTGATTAGGCAACTACTGTTTTGGGAACTTGTAAAAACTGATGCTGATCAAGTCAAGTAGAAACTTTTGCTGCTGTAATAATGTCAGGGATAAGTGGGTTTTTTGTTCTGTGGTTTGGGGTGGGGGTTGAGACATTTGTGGGGTGGGGGTTGAGACATTAAATGAATTTAGGTTATTTAAATTGAGAAGCAAGCATAAGTTTATGCCAAGAAAAAGCCCCTTTTTGCTGCTGTAAGCTGTATTAGTACTATGAGGTTAAATGAACATTTGGTCAGGGATGATCTAGGAGTAGTTATGCCTATGCTGCACAGTGGGTATTTCCCATGCTTCTGGGCTTTGTTGGTTGCCACATGGGACTGGGAAGGAATTTGTTTCCCTTCCTGTTCCTACGTCAGGCTTTTTATCTTTCATGAAAGGATTGGGTGTTGGCTGCAGCCAAGGCTGGGGATTTTGTTGCCTGCTGGGACTAAAACCTGGAGGTACCTAGCTAGAGGACCTTGGCCCTCTGCTGTAGGTCAGACCAACTGCCACAGGATCAGGAAGGAATTTTACCTCTTGGCCAAAGTGGTAAGGGACTGTGATGTTTTAGTCTTCCTCTGTAATGGAGCATGGCCCCCTTTCCTGGATCTCTTGAGCACGTTCTGACAACCCTTGCAGCAGCAGGATGCTGACTGCTGTTTTCTCCCATGTTATCTGTGGCAAGTTAGGTTACCTGTGTGACAGGATCAGTTGTGTAGTGTTAGTAATAGGTGAGACAAGAAGTTGTACAGGATGTTTTGATAGGGATGGTCTTGCTTTGGACTAGATAACTTGTAGAAGGTCCCTTCCAGCACTGCTTTTTCTGTGATTCTAACTGGGGACGGGAGACTCTGGTCTTTACTCATGTACCAACAAATCTGTTCTAGTCCAAGTCTCACTTGAGGCTTGTTGTTAATCACAAAATATTTCAGTAGCAGCTTCTGTTATAATGTAATTCATAAAAATTCCATTCATCCCAGTTCTATTCTGTACTATCCTCAAGAAGCATTTTGAGTGGAGCACTTAACTGTGACAAATTAAGAATTAATTTGCTTTGATATGTTAACATGCCCATGAAGCTCTACAAGGCCTCTTTTTATTGTCTTTCCATTGTACAGTTCATTCTGCCCTCCTTGGGCCTGGTCACACTCCTTGGCTGGTGAGTGTGCCTCCTACATAACTAGTCTTATCTAGTACAGTCTGATCTGGCATTTGTCCCTGTTCAGTGTGAGGCTTTTTCCTTTGGCGCTCTGACAAAGCATTGTAGTCTCATATTGATCATCTTTATCCCAAATCAGCATACCATTAATAGTTAGTCTCATTTAATAATAATGACCATTAATAGAAATCATTGCTGTATTGCCGTAGGGATTTTATCCACTGATGAATGGGAAGGGAGGCATCACAATCTGAGTTGGGAGGACAGGTCATCCACAAGACTTAGTAGATCAGTAAGGAAGTCTATGAAAGTATGGTAGTTTGTGCACTAAATGGTAGAGAATGCAAGGGCTTCCTAAAATATTATCCACTTGTAGTGAGATTATTTTATGGACATAAGAATGTGTGATCTTTGCTGCTATACTCTGCCATCTGTAACATACATCACTGAAACCCTCATGACTTGAATCTGAGCTCTTGGGAGTAACCCAGAAACGGTGACTACAGACCTGCAGGGTGGTCCTCTCTCATATTATGTAACAGCTGGAACTTTACTACCGTGTTATTTTGTCTTATGTTTTAAAATGCAAGTAAAGGGGTGTAGTTTTATTTTTAGGTGAACACTGAATAAGCTAATATGTGAGAACAGTATTTAAATTGGATTTAAAAAGGTACTCATAATACCAACAAGTTGGTATCTCTTAATGCAGATCTGTAATTGAAATGATCAAGAATTTAACTTGTTCTTGTAAAAACTGAACAGAGCCAGTTTTACAAGAAGGCCTGCTGTATTCAGTGTTGTTAGATGTGATATAATTTTTCCTTTAAAGTTCAGTTTTATTAGAGCATAAACAAAATAATTTTTGTTTATTTGTAGGTTAGCAAAAGAAAAAGTTATGTATGAAAAAGAAGCAAAACAGCAAGAAGAAAAGATTGAAAAAATGAAAGCTGAAGCAAGTGATGATTATGGAATTAAAAAACAGGTAAATGATCCTAATATTTAAAACTTTACAATGCTTTTTAAATATTTAAAAGGAACCTGACAGTGACACTTAAATGAGAGATTTGCTTTTTCTGGACTTGTGTTTTCTGAATATTAAAGATTTTCTGAAAACATAAAACCTTAGATAGTACAAATGTGCAATGTGCAGTCATGCACAGACTGAGCACTCGTTTGAGACAATAGGTGTCCTCTGAGTTGAAGATAAGTGACTTGCCTTCACGCTCCTGAATAGTATGGGTATACTGAAATTTGACTGCCATTCAGAATATTACAGTGGCTAACAGATGTGTTTACTGTGAAACTGTTTAATGCTGATCACAGACATACACTATTATCTGGTTGGTTTGGTAATCAAGAGCTGAAAGTAGTGTGCTCCACACAGTGCTCTAATGTTCAAAGTAGTGTTGTCAAACACAACTATCGTATTTGTACGGTAAAATTCATCCATAATAGATAATTACCAAAGTGGCCAAATGTATATTACAGAGAAGATCCAAAGCATTCTTGCCTTTGAAAGAGAACTTTCCATATTAGATAAATTTCCCATCTTCAGATGATCTTTGAGTTTGTTGTCCTGTGTGTGCATGGATTTGTTCAGAAGCATGTAGCTGCTTCCAAAGTAGAATTTAGTTGAGATACTAACATTCTAGGAAGTGACTATATTAAATGATCAAAATATTGTACTGCTTATGGCAATGTGGTCAAATATTAAGGACAAATACCAACTTATGTACATATACATTTTTAGTTACAGTATTTTTATTTAAATATGATTTTGATTATTTTTCCCCAATGTGATCTCTCTCGTTCAAATCTGGCTGCAAGGTGTGGGAAGGCTTCAAGCCTTGTGTATGTTGGAGAAGGTGGAGAGAGTGATTTGGACTCATAATTATGGAATAAGGGGTTTTTCTTCCCCTTACATGCTCATTTGCAAAAGGAGATGGGAGAGAATTAGTGCATATTGTGTGTTGGATGGGTAGGTGTGTATGTTTGTTTTGGGTCATAGGAGGAACTAAAGAAGGTCTGAAACTAAAGAGGCTACATATTTTTAAACAGAGGTATGTAAAACTTTTAAACCATGTTTAATTATAGTTGCTTCCACTCTTACTCAAGTTTTAATTGCATGGTATGTCCAGTGTTGCAAATGTAATAATTAATTGTCCATAGTTTTCCTGGATGAGTGGATAAGCCCTGAATGTCTAAGCAAGGGGTGGGGAAAATATGGCCTGCAGGCCATATCTGGGCCACCAGATGATCCTGTCTGGCTTGCTGAGCACCCCACTGGGAGCCTGAGAAATCAGCTGCTGCAGTGCCACTACGAGGTGAGTTTGTGCTGGTCTCAGGGTTGGGGTTGGCTTGGGGCAGCTGTCCTCAACTTTCCTGGTGTGGCATGGTGGTGGGTCAGTGGGATGGCTACTTGGTACACTAAATTGCACCCTATCCTATGCGAGGCTGGCGACTACAGTGCCAGAACTATGCAGTGCCAACAGGAAGTTGGGTGGCAGGCACGGGAAGGAATCTGTGTGCTATGCAGCCCAGCTTATATTTGTATATATCTATATATAATTACCTTCATGCTACCTTTTAGTCATTGTACAGGACACAGACCCAGGATGCAGTGTGCTTATTTCTTTTGCATTTCACTTAAATGAAACAAATGTAGAATTTGGAAGATGTTATCACATGTTTATACCTATGTACAGAAGTGAAATCTTTCTCCTCCTTATACTTGATTTAGTGTTTCAAGGAGCTACTGAAATAAAAATAAAAGTTGTCTTTTTTTTAAAAAAATAATTGACACTAGTGGACCACTTCAGTCTCCATAAGATTCAGTGTTCTAGTTCATCAAATTATTTGACAGCATTAAGGAATTTCCCTACCAACTCTAGGAAGTTATCAAAATTTTCAGCAACAACCTCTGAAACTCTTTCTCTGAGGAGAAAGCTAAAGCAGTCCTTTGAATGAGGAATGGTGGCAGCAGCCTTCAGAGCCAATAGTTTTTGTTCGCTCCTATGTCATGTCTTCTAGATCTTCAGTTATTTTTGTTGCTGTCCAATGGACTCTGTCCAATTTGTCCACACTTCTTGAAATATGGTACCCAAAACAGAAAGCAGCACTTAGTCTAAATGACTGCTCTCAAATGCTGAAGGAAGCGAAAGAATCCTTTCCTGTGACTTGCAACCTCTGTTAATACTGGCCTTTATTTTTTGCAACAAAATTAAATTCTGCTTGCTATCCATTCTAACACTAGGTTCTTCTCTGCAGCAGTGTAGCCTCACCCATCACTCCCCATTTGGTTTTTCCCTCTTAAGCATAGTAGTTTGTACTAGTCTGATTGAATTTAATCCGATTTATATTTCAGATCATTTTTCCAATGTATTAAAGTCATTTTGAATCCTAATCCTATCATCCAGTGTCATGTAATTCCATCCAGTTTGGTGTCATTAACAGATTATCTAAATGTACACTCAATTCTATCTTCAATTAATGAAGATAATGAACAGTGCTCTACCCAGAACAGATGCCCTTGGGTACCCCACTCAATACCTTCTTCCATCTTGACAGTGAGCCATTGATGACTACTCTTTGAGCACAGTTATCCAACCAATTATGCACTCACCTTGTAAAAGTTTCATCTAGACCATGTTCTCTTAACTTATTTATGAAGATGTCATGAGAGTGTCAGAATCCCACCCCTTTCCAGTCTTCTCTTTTTCCAGGCTAAATTTATTTCAGCCTTTCTTCATAAGACATGCTTCCCAGGTCTATATGCACTTTTGTCACTCTCCACTGGACTCTTTCCAGTTTGTCCTCATCCTTGAAGTGTGGGGCCTAAAACTGGACGCTAATCAAGGTGAGGTCTTACCAGTGCTGATTGGAGCAGAAGACTCATTTCCCTTGATTTGCAGGTGACGTTCTTAATACATCCAGCATACTGTTGGCTCATTCAGTTTATGATCTACTCTGTAATCCCCAGGTCTTTCTATGAGTACTGTAGTTTAGCCAGTCATTCCACAGTCTGTTTGTGCATGCAGTTATTCTGTCCCAAGTGCCAGACTTTGCACTTGTCCTTGCTGAATTCAGTCTGGTTGATTGTGGACCACTTTTTCAGTCTATCCAGGTCACTGTGGATCCTAACCCTACCCTACGGAGTGTCTGCAACTCCCCCCCAACTTGGTGTCAGAATTTGCTATGCATGACCTCCATTCCACTGTCCAAATTGTTAATTAAGATAATAAACAATGCCAAATGCAGGACAGACACCTGGGGAAGGCTACTTGATACTGCCTCCCTACTACACATTGGGTCATAGATGATTGCTGATTGAGCACAAATGACTAATTATGGATCCATCTTGCAGTACTTTCACCTAGTTTGTATTTCCATAGCTTGTAAATGAGAATGACATGGGAGATAGTGTCAAAAGCCTTGCTAAAGTCAAAGGTATATCACATCCATTGCTCTCCCTGCATCCAGAGAACAGGTTACCTTATCATAGAAGGAAGTCAGGTTGGTCACCTATGACATGCCCTTGGTGAATCTGTGCTGGCTATTCCTGATCACCTCATTCTCCTCTAGGTACTTCATAATAGATTCCTTGATGACTTACTGTATGATCTTTCCAGGAATTGAGGTCAGGCTGACTGGTTTGTAATTCTCTGGATCCTCCTTCCATCTTTTAAAGATGGGCACTATATTTGCCTTTTTGCAATCTTTTGGGACCTCATTCAACCTCCACAAGCTCTCAAAGAGGATACTAATGGCTCCAGATCTATCTTGACCATTTCCTTCCATACCTTATTGTTAGGGGTCTACTCAAATCAAGGAGGCAGCTGGCCAATTTTGTGGGCGGATAGATCATGGGGCCAGCTGCCTTCTTCACAGGGTTACCCCCCAGGCCTCTGACTTGAGGGACTCTGGTAGCCTGCCCCCCTCATTACTGATGGGTTATTATCAGTTATGTGGCCACGACCCTCACCACCATTTGGTGGAGAGGGGTAGGGTGGCATAAAAGGCAGCTATCTTGGTCTCCCCTTTTGTATTGGCAGGCCCCCTTTCCCCTTCCCCCTCAGTGAACTGTGTAGCCAAGCTGCAGTGGCCATGAGGACAGCTGTCTCCCTCTGGGGAGCCAGCATTTTATTTTCAGTAAGGTTTTGGGTTTGTTTTTTTTTCCTTTGCGCTTTTTTTTTTGCAGATTTTGCAGGCATTGCCCAACTTTGCAGGCAACGCCAGATTTCACGATTTCTGCAAAATTGCAGTTTGACTAGGTCCCTACCAATGGTGCATTCCACTCACCCTTGCTGACTTGAAAATATCTCGTCTCTAACCTATTCTGCCACTGCTCTAGGATATTTGACTCCTTCCCCATCTTTATGGTCAACTGTGTTTGTCATTTAGTAGCTGCCACCATTTTGTGAAGACAATTTTTTGTAAAAATTGCATTAAATAATACAGCTTTCTTTGCATCATCCTTAACTAGATTCTCTTCTGCCTTCTGAAAGGGACCTATAGTTTCTTTCATCTTCCTTTCAGTTTTGAAGTACTTGTAGAATCCCTTCCTATTTCTATTTTATGTCCCTTACTATTTGCATCTCAAATTGTCTTGGCCTTCCTGACTTTCTCCATGCATGCCTGCGTAATAGTCTTATACACTACGCTGGTACTAGGACCAAGTTTCTACTTTTTTATAGGATTCCTTTTTTGAGTTTCAGTTCATTGAAGAGATTGCTGTCTAGCCAGGCTGGTCTCATTCTTCTGTCAATAGGGATCCTTCTGTCATTCCTGTACCCTTAATGTGGCCTCTTTCAAGCACAGCCAGCTCTTCTGGATTCCTTTTCCCTTCAGACTTACCTCCCAGGGGATCCTGTCCCCCAGGTCTTTTCTGCTGCTTCTCTTCTTTCCTTCGCCTGGGTTCTTGAACTCTGTTGATTTCATGGTCACTGTCATGCAAGTTACCTTCCACCTTCACATTCTCAACCA